CATAACTACAAGAGCACCAACTCAGCTGTAACACAGACTACATAACTACAAGAGCACCAACTCAGCTGTAACACAGACTACATAACTACAAGAGCACCAACTCAGCTGTAACACAGACTACATAACTACAAGAGCACCAACTCAGCTGTAACACAGACTACATAACTACAAGAGCACCAACTCAGCTGTAACACAGACTACATAACTACAAGAGCACCAACTCAGCTGTAACACAGACTACATAACTACAAGAGCACCAACTCAGCTGTAACACAGACTACATAACTACAAGAGCACCAACTCAGCTGTAACACAGACTACATAACTACAAGAGCACCAACTCAGCTGTAACACAGACTACATAACTACAAGAGCACCAACTCAGCTGTAACACAGACTACATAACTACAAGAGCACCAACTCAGCTGTAACACAGACTACATAACTACAAGAGCACCAACTCAGCTGTAACACAGACTACATAACTACAAGAGCACCAACTCAGCTGTAACACAGACTACATAACTACAAGAGCACCAACTCAGCTGTAACACAGACTACATAACTACAAGAGCACCAACTCAGCTGTAACACAGACTACATAACTACAAGAGCACCAACTCAGCTGTAACACAGACTACATAACTACAAGAGCACCAACTCAGCTGTAACACAGACTACATAACTACAAGAGCACCAACTCAGCTGTAACACAGACTACATAACTACAAGAGCACCAACTCAGCTGTAACACAGACTACATAACTACAAGAGCACCAACTCAGCTGTAACACAGACTACATAACTACAAGAGCACCAACTCAGCTGTAACACAGACTACATAACTACAAGAGCACCAACTCAGCTGTAACACAGACTACATAACTACAAGAGCACCAACTCAGCTGTAACACAGACTACATAACTACAAGAGCACCAACTCAGCTGTAACACAGACTACATAACTACAAGAGCACCAACTCAGCTGTAACACAGACTACATAACTACAAGAGCACCAACTCAGCTGTAACACAGACTACATAACTACAAGAGCACCAACTCAGCTGTAACACAGACTACATAACTACAAGAGCACCAACTCAGCTGTAACACAGACTACATAACTACAAGAGCACCAACTCAGCTGTAACACAGACTACATAACTACAAGAGCACCAACTCAGCTGTAACACAGACTACATAACTACAAGAGCACCAACTCAGCTGTAACACAGACTACATAACTACAAGAGCACCAACTCAGCTGTAACACAGACTACATAACTACAAGAGCACCAACTCAGCTGTAACACAGACTACATAACTACAAGAGCACCAACTCAGCTGTAACACAGACTACATAACTACAAGAGCACCAACTCAGCTGTAACACAGACTACATAACTACAAGAGCACCAACTCAGCTGTAACACAGACTACATAACTACAAGAGCACCAACTCAGCTGTAACACAGACTACATAACTACAAGAGCACCAACTCAGCTGTAACACAGACTACATAACTACAAGAGCACCAACTCAGCTGTAACACAGACTACATAACTACAAGAGCACCAACTCAGCTGTAACACAGACTACATAACTACAAGAGCACCAACTCAGCTGTAACACAGACTACATAACTACAAGAGCACCAACTCAGCTGTAACACAGACTACATAACTACAAGAGCACCAACTCAGCTGTAACACAGACTACATAACTACAAGAGCACCAACTCAGCTGTAACACAGACTACATAACTACAAGAGCACCAACTCAGCTGTAACACAGACTACATAACTACAAGAGCACCAACTCAGCTGTAACACAGACTACATAACTACAAGAGCACCAACTCAGCTGTAACACAGACTACATAACTACAAGAGCACCAACTCAGCTGTAACACAGACTACATAACTACAAGAGCACCAACTCAGCTGTAACACAGACTACATAACTACAAGAGCACCAACTCAGCTGTAACACAGACTACATAACTACAAGAGAACCAACTCAGCTGTAACACAGACTACATAACTACAAGAGCACCAACTCAGCTGTAACACAGACTACATAACTACAAGAGCACCAACTCAGCTGTAACACAGACTACATAACTACAAGAGCACCAACTCAGCTGTAACACAGACTACATAACTACAAGAGCACCAACTCAGCTGTAACACAGACTACATAACTACAAGAGAACCAACTCAGCTGTAACACAGACTACATAACTACAAGAGCACCAACTCAGCTGTAACACAGACTACATAACTACAAGAGCACCAACTCAGCTGTAACACAGACTACATAACTACAAGAGCACCAACTCAGCTGTAACACAGACTACATAACTACAAGAGCACCAACTCAGCTGTAACACAGACTACATAACTACAAGAGCACCAACTCAGCTGTAACACAGACTACATAACTACAAGAGCACCAACTCAGCTGTAACACAGACTACATAACTACAAGAGCACCAACTCAGCTGTAACACAGACTACATAACTACAAGAGCACCAACTCAGCTGTAACACAGACTACATAACTACAAGAGAACCAACTCAGCTGTAACACAGACTACATAACTACAAGAGCACCAACTCAGCTGTAACACAGACTACATAACTACAAGAGCACCAACTCAGCTGTAACACAGACTACATAACTACAAGAGCACCAACTCAGCTGTAACACAGACTACATAACTACAAGAGCACCAACTCAGCTGTAACACAGACTACATAACTACAAGAGCACCAACTCAGCTGTAACACAGACTACATAACTACAAGAGCACCAACTCAGCTGTAACACAGACTACATAACTACAAGAGCACCAACTCAGCTGTAACACAGACTACATAACTACAAGAGCACCAACTCAGCTGTAACACAGACTACATAACTACAAGAGCACCAACTCAGCTGTAACACAGACTACATAACTACAAGAGCACCAACTCAGCTGTAACACAGACTACATAACTACAAGAGCACCAACTCAGCTGTAACACAGACTACATAACTACAAGAGCACCAACTCAGCTGTAACACAGACTACATAACTACAAGAGCACCAACTCAGCTGTAACACAGACTACATAACTACAAGAGCACCAACTCAGCTGTAACACAGACTACATAACTACAAGAGCACCAACTCAGCTGTAACACAGACTACATAACTACAAGAGCACCAACTCAGCTGTAACACAGACTACATAACTACAAGAGCACCAACTCAGCTGTAACACAGACTACATAACTACAAGAGCACCAACTCAGCTGTAAATCTTGTTTAAGATTAAAACCTAACTAATCCAGCACTAAATTATACTGGTCGTACAATCACGTCTTATTCTCCATGGTAGACATTGTCAGGTAAAACTTTAAACAACACCAGATCTTCAGAGCCTATAAAAAGATACTGAGACTGCACTGAATAATTAGTGTCTGTAGCAGAAGTAAAATAAATAATGCGACAAGGCGAGTCAGAAGTGTCTCTTACAGGAACTCAGCCAGAGCGTTTCCTGTGAAATGTTATGAGAAATACATTGACTGAGCCGGGCTGTAACGGGCACTGAGCGATCAGGGAGTTAGATGGGTTCTGCTATTATCACATTTACTTGGTTACCTGGTTACCTGGTTACCTGGTTACCTAGTTACCTGGTTACCTAGTTACCTGGTTACCTGGTTACCTGGTTAGAGGGGTTCTGCTATTATCACATTTACTTGGTTACCTGGTTACCTGGTTACCTGGTTACCTAGTTACCTGGTAACCTAGTTACCTAGTTACCTGGTTACCTGGTTAGAGGGGTTCTGCTATTATCACATTTACTTGGGCTTCATCAAGGGTTAAAGTTAACCTATTATCACATTTACTTAGGCTTCATCAAGGGTTAAAGTTAACCTATTATCACATTTACTTGGGGTTCATCAAGGGTTAAAGTTAACCTATGTATCTTATATTATGTTAATCTATCATCTATGTTTCTGATATTGTGTCAGAACCTGAAACTCAGCCTGGAACTATATAAGCGAATAATATATTCTAAGTACAGTCAAAAATAAAGACGTACTTGGCCTGAATTCTGTTTCAAAGTCTGATTCTAAAACTGCCAATCTCTTTTGTTGTCGCTGAGTCTCACGTGCTAAATCTGATAAGACATTTAGAATCTCCTCCTGTTTTTCAACCTTATTAATTAAGATCAGGCTACAAAAAATAAAATAGACTGTACTGGTCAGTAATCAATCCTTTTAAAGTAAAGCACATAAGATAAAACGACTTATTTGGAGCGAGAAACTTAAGAATTATTAACTAGTCCTACTAACATTAAACAGATCTTGATCTTATTTGAAAATACATTCTTTTATTTTAAACATATAATTATTTAATCTGAAATAGTTAAACCTTTTGTTCCTCATCTGCCTGTAAATCATTGATCATATCCTCTAATGTTTTCACGTAATAATCTGCTTTAGATTCTGACTGATTTGATTTCTCTGGCTCTTCTAAAACGTCATTGTTGTTTGCACAGATTTGTAGATTTGGACTAATTATAACTCTTTCAGTAGCTGCATATTATGTAACGTAATTTAAATTATAATTATTTCTACTAGCAGCTTGACTGTCGGACGAATTAACACGACAAATAAATTGGATTATTACCTCTTCCCATTTTCAACATTTACTTTTTACAGTTTGTCGGATAATTGGTGAAAATAGAGAAACTGAAAAGTAAGACAATTTTTTCGGCACATTCCCTATTTTCGCTTCATTTTCATGACGCAGGTAAATAGTAACAATGCTAACAACGACTAATTCCATTTTCACCAAGATTTTATGGCGAAAATTGAATATTTCCGGGATAAATAGCGAATAGCGAAATTCCTTACATTTGAGACTCAACACTCAAGCTCAGACAATAAAAATCAAAATGATCGCAAATTTTCATAAACTTAAAGTACGATAAAACTTACTGGAGAGTTGCATGGTAGTTGCGAGGAACCCGCCGACTAACTCAACTGTGAGAGTGTCACGTGATCCATCTGAGAGCTTCTTACTGGTTAGTCGTACCAGCACACCCGTACTGAAATATTCCGAGCTGTATTTTCAAATAGTATGCCACCATGCATGGATTCAGTCGTAGATTAATTCAAATTTGGTAAATAGTAAGACAAGCAAAATCGTGTCTTAAAACCCAATTAAAACCCAAGTAACTGAGATTGTTGGTAATATGTGACAATATTTCATTATCGTCATGCTGCTGCTTCATAATATTTCTAAAATTAGATGATCGTGATTTTACAAATTCTTTTTTTTCCAAGTTCGTTATTTAGCTTAAATTATAGATTGGCTTAGCTATTACATCGCTTCCTGTTAATAAACTCTGTACCATAAAAGGATTTGACATAATATTATAAACCCACTGGTCTTGAGCTGTTTCTCGCGATGTTTTGAGTTGTGTGGCAAAAACGTCGATATATTTACTAAACCCTTCAAAATACAACGAGTTGAGCTCAGAGAATTGTGGAGCCATTTCAGCAGTTATTGTTAAGTGAAGTAACGTTCATTGAGTATTAACGACTAGCGGCGAAAGATCGTTTTTATTACGCGTTCTTTTGACATGTTAATAACTCACACTGGACATTTCCTTGAGTGTGATGAACATTTAAAAACTCAAAATTAAGCTCAAGAAGTCTATGAATTTTGCTTATTCAAAGATGCTGAAAGTTTCAAGTTTTTCTCCAGAAACAATCTTCTTCAAATACCTGGAGATGTAATTTTTACGGTTGAATAACTGACTGAAATTTTGTGGTATAATTAGCAAATACATGACCAGCAAAGTATTAGCAGTTGTTTGTTTGTTTGTTTAGTTACATAAACAAATACACTCACACAAATGGGCCTGGTAACGACTTTGTAAAATGATACAAATTAGATTTAAAGCAAAAGTTTTAAAATGTCAATAAAAACCACACAACTCATAATATATAATATAATATGTAACACTGCTTTAGCCTGTTACAGCAATTCCTAAAAGACTTACTGAAATTATAAATACAATATAAAATACAGTTGACGTTGCTCTACTATGTATACTTCATTTTTGGCTGTAAAAACCACTGATTGTGGTCCGAAAAAATGGCCACCATGCATGGATCCGGGTTTCAATTTAGTTCAAACTTGGAACATTATAATATACGTTATAGTCTTACAGATCAGCTATTTCTATGACATAAATAAACATGCCTTGGAAGCGGAGGGACTAAATAAACATGCCTTGGAAGCGGAGGGACTTGTGAAAACACGAACTTCCAATCTCTTTCAGGCCATCTAATTTTAGAACTGTTACGAGGCAGACAGCAAATTCAGCAAAGGTATCAAGAACCTTAATTAGATAAGTGAGCCGCAAGGGAGTGTAATTTAGTAAATGCAGCTTTGTTATGGCCCTAACGTTAATGTGGCTTTGTGTTGGTTCAGCCGAATTAATTGTTACTAACAGGAACCCGTCTTACTCTAAAGTGGTGTCAAGACTCAAGAGACTAAAATAATTATTACCTGTTTAATTTCTCGTTTTTGACACCACTTGGGGGTCCAAATTTTGGGCACTAAAATTCTTATTCCTTGGCCAATTTTTTATTTTTTCATGCTGATTTGAAAAGCATAAAAGCATTTGACTCAGTCAAAAAAGTTTCAGTTGTATATTATTTTACGGTTTTTGCGGAAAGTCGCGTTAAAGTTGATGCCGTGGTGTCAGTAAAATGGCACGGATAAACACATATATAATACTATTATATATATAATATATCGTCTCGCTTTATTATATACTAGCAGGAACCCGTCTAACCCTAAAGTGGTGTCAAGACTCAAGAGACTAAAATAATTATTACCTATTTAATTCGCGTTTTTGACAAATTTTAAGCTCTAAAACTCCTATTTCTTGGCCAATTTTTTATTTTTTCATGCTGATTTGAAGGCCATTAAAGCATTTGAGCCAGTCAAAAAAGTTTCAGTTGTATATCTTTTACGGTTTTTGCGGAAAGTCGTGTTAAAGTTGATGCCGTGGTGTCAGTATAATGGCACAGATAAATATATATATATTCCTTAGAACATGTCCCAGGTACCGTTCCAGTAGGACTAACATGAAGGAGCCCACAAAGTCATTACTATTTCATGACATGAAGAGCCTCTTTCTACCGGAGCACATAGTGGAATTCACCAAGTTCGTCGCTCAGCTATGCAGAACACGATTCCCTATAAAGAAGAAACACGAACATTAGTGTCTCAGTACGGGATATCACATTTCCTCCACAGCCCCTTCATTTTCACTTTTTCTTTACACTCATCAAACATCTTAATGGTAACGGATTTTCTATTTGGATTTCGGACTTTGACCTTTAGCTATGCTGATCTGACATTATCTCACTGTAATATAGATCTATTTTTTGTAAACCTTGTAAACCTTGTAAACCTTGTTGTAAACCTTGTATATATCGTCTCGCTTTATATATAGTAAGATAGTAAGATATAATCAAGTTTATTTTTCTAGTTTAGTTAGTTGTCATCCGGCCACACAGTATGCACAGTTCAACTTATATTGCAATACCATTTTTTTCATTTAATTGGTTGTACATCAATATAATGTCACTGACATTATGACAGTGTAATTTTGCATGGCTGAAATGTAACGCTTCATTTTCATATATTATATAATATATATTATATTATAATAATTAATTGAATTTTCAAATAAAAACGGTTTTAGAGCTGCTTATCTTATGCCTAATTTCAATTTAAATCTATCCGGCGCATTTAATTCCTGTAATGTTCAGTTTTATAAATGAAGCAGTTGAAAAACACAGAGTGCTTTATTTGATAGTTTGATATTGAGGGCCCCTAGAGTGAGTTAGAGAAGTCTATTAGCGTACAATTTTAGGGCATTTTCAGCTTTCACAGTGCCAGGATCAGTGGAACTAGTATTAAACACAATTAACACGATGTTTTGACTAGTGGCATGATGACCAATACCATCGCACATATATTGTGTAAATTTGCTGCATCTGTATGGTTGCAATCAAAATTTATTTTAATCTAATTTCACAGCTGTACCTTTGAAGGGGAGGAGTAGAGAAGGAGAAGGAAACGGAGCTGTCTACTGAATCGTAAGGGGTAGGATACACATACTTTATCATAGAGGTCTTGTTAAATCTGACGAACACTGAAATTGAAGTGAGTTATTTGAGCTCGCTCTTTCTTTAGCCATAAAACAGACGGTAAACAGCAAAATTAAAGTAAGTTCTCCTGAAAACGGGTGATTATAAATAGCATTTCTCCAAAACTAACCTTTGTGGCAGATAGGAGTGGGGAGCCAAGTGTTATCCTCACCACATACAAGATGTGAGTTGTACGTGGTATACCCATCACTGCAGACCAACGAGGCGCTGTCTCCCTCTTCACTGTCTACCTTGTAGTTTGCCAACCTACCATTCGCTATCGTGCCGTTACTGCAACTTCTTATAGCATCTGTAAAGTTCGTTGTTGTAACGGAGTAAGTTTAAAACTGCCTCAGGATTCTAATTGTATAAATTAAGAGATAGGGATAGAGGCAGCTTTGCTAGTTAGAAGCGTATGGAGCTGTATCTACTGTTGTGGAGTTGTGGTATGAAATATGTTTGGTAACCACGAGCTCATCAGTATACCGAATAAATTCGGGTAGAAATAGTAAGATCATATTCATATAATTATCTTGTACTGTAATGATGAGTTCATTGTGTTTGACTACAGTATTCATTCATGAATTATGTTCGACAATGATTTAATCGTTTTAATCAATCTAATTAAGTCATTAGGGCAGAGTTAGGACGAAACCCAATCCAGTGTGACCACTAATCAATTACATCCTCGACTGCATTCTTTGTAACTTTGCAGAAAATTACTTGACAATCTTAGTAACAGTGTAATAGGTATTATGCCAATCATTGTAAAGGCGCAGATTACTAATTGAGCCCAATTTCCGGGTGAGGTTGACATAACAGCAACTTCACTGTACAGGAGTTAGCGTAAATTTACCACACAAATAACTTTTAACATCAAGGAAATCGCTATATTATAATGTATCTTGTGAGAATATAAATGTAAAGTAGATTAGACTTACTGAACAGAGAAGCCACCAGAATCAATGATAGTTGAACTATCATCCCGGCCTCAACACTTCACATGTATCGGCTGTTGCTGATGCTAGACAGGAATTGGAAGGATTAAACGTTTTTTACACATCATTCTGTTATTTTAATTGATAACTTTCAATCAATATGAAAGATAGTTGACCACAAAAGTCAGCTAATAAATAGTTTATTTCACAGTAACGTTTATTTCACAGTAACGATATGCCTCAACTACCCACCAGAATCAAAATGTATTGTTTCAAAAAAAACACGATCGATAATAATCGATAATAGTGAAATGGTAAAATAAAATAAAATCGTATTTTAAAACAATATTTTGGCAAAAGTATTATTGGTTGACTAACTGATGTGCTCAACAAAGCCCTCGCCTGAGACAGAGGCTCGTGAATAATGAGAAATGACAAAACCTTGGTTCAGCTAAAATTATATAAAAGAAGGTAGTCACATTAATGATCCCTTGCCATGATTACACTTGCAACAACAACACTTGCACGATACCGATATCTCAACTATTAATTTTGAAATTGCATTACTTATTTTATTCATATCTTCATAGTCAACACAGTTGACGTTATAATGATATAAACTCTTGCACAACTTGCAATCAGCGGTCTCTTGCAAGGTTTTGTTGAATCTGGAATAGATGTACTCGCAACATTCATCTTGTCCATGTGATTCTATTTGGTGGTTGTTAAGAAAGTCAAGAAGTTCTTTGGACAACTGCATCTCTTCAAACATTGCTTTTAATATATCTCTCTTCGTTAACAGTAAGATAAAATCAGAATTGGAAAAACTTGGTAATTCTACCAAGAGTTTAAAATATTTGATGCTTTCTTCCAGCTGGCAAAAGTTTTGTAACGAAAAGCAAAATAAAACTACTTCTGTATTTTCAAAGTGAGAAGTAAGTAATTTACCAGAAATAGGTTTCCGAAAATGGGTGATGTCAAGATTACAGAACAGTCTAGAATTTTCAGTATGTTGCAATCTTACCAAATCTTTCTCAAAATTGTTGTTAAAACAGGATTTTTTCCAGACAACTAAATCTTCCAAATTTATAGTATATTCAGGGTTAAGAATTCTTCTGAAATTCTCCAAAAGATATCTCTCCAACTCAGTCTTTTCATCTTTGCTTTCATCAGAAATTGGAGTTAGATCCATTCCGTTGATTTCATTTAAGACATTTCTCATAAGCTCTTGATATTCATCAAATTTTGAACTGTCAGAACAGGTAAAATTTGACAGTTCCTTAGTGTAAGAACAGTAACAACTGTATGTGTTCAATATCAGCTCAATGCAACAAGATCTTATACGCATCATAGCGACTTTAGCCTCATCCAACTCTGCAGTGAATATTTTCTGAAGTTTAAATTGTTCAATGAGAGATGATTTTCCAGAACCTCTATTACCTGTAACAATGGTCTTAACATTCCAATTGCTTCTCTTTCTTTGATATTCCCTTTTTAGTTCCAGGTCTATCTTTTTGCTGTTCTCCTTGGATCGTTTTTCCTCCTTAAGTCTATCAATGACATTGAAAGGAAAAAAGTTTCTTGCTTTCTTCTCGGACATTGCATCAATTAGCAGATTGGTTACTCTTAAATCATATTGATATGGTAACTATTGGCCATGCTTTTCTTCCTAGATCTAATAAAAATAGTATTAAAATAAAAATTTCTGAGATTATAGCCAACTTGAAGAGTGGGAAAGCCAGCGACTTTCCCATAAGAGTTATCAAAAAACTATCGGGTATTCTTAGCCCAACTCTTGTTGTTCAATTTAATCGCCTGATATCTCAAGGGATATTTCCGTCAGTTCTGAAGCTTGGTAAAATAACCCCAATATACAAAAAAGATAACGAGGAACTGATTGAGAACTACAGGCCTGTTTCCACACTTCCAATTTTTGGTAAAATTTTTGAAAAGATAATATACAAACGTCTTTACAGCTTCTTGGTTAGTCAAGGAATCCTTCACGAAAGTCAATTCGGATTCCGAAAGAGTCACTCAACATCACATGCACTTAACTACTCAGTTTTTCACATCCAAAAGGCCCTAAAGCAAGGTCTTCATGTTCTAGGAATTTTTATTGATCTAAGCAAGGCCTTTGACACAATAGACCACACAATTTTGCTTGAGAAACTTGAAATATATGGGATTAGAGGAGTGCCACTTAAGTTACTGGAAAGTTACTTGTCGGACAGAGAGCAGTGTGTGTCCGTCCTGGGCGAAGTATCAGACAGACTTCCTGTTCTCTATGGCGTTCCACAGGGGAGCTGCCTTGGGCCTCTCCTGTTTTTAATATACATAAATGACTTAACAAACTCTCAACTCGATAACACTAGCTATGTCTTATTTGCTGATGATACAAACATATTTGTAGTTGCCAAAACTAGAGCAGAGGCCTACAATAATGCAAATAGGGTCCTACGATCAGTCCACGAGTACACATTGGCTAATAAATTACATGTTAACGCCAAGAAAAGTTGCTATATAGAATTCAATACAGCTAAAAGAAAACTTGATGAGCAATCTTTATTAATTGAAAATAGACTTTACCTCAACGGCCTTCCTCTCTCAAAGGTGCAGGAAACGAAATTCCTGGGAGTAATTGTCGACGAAGGCCTAACTTTCAATCCCCATAGAGACAAACTAGTTAGAAAACTCTCGTCCTGTTCTGGGAGGCTGTACATGATTAAGGATAAAATTCCATCATCCATCCATAAGGACCTGTACCACACACTGTTTGAAAGTCACCTATCTTATGGCATTACCGTTTGGGGAGGTGCAAGTAATAATAAACTTCAACCACTATTTGTAGCCCAGAAAAAGTGTGTTCGTATCATGTTTGGTGACAAAAAAGCATACCTTGATAAATTTATGACATGTGCTAGGACTAGACCTATCAGTGAACAGAAACTTACGAGCAAATTCTTTGAGAGAGAGCACACCAAGCCAATTTTTGCCCGTCAATCACTCATGACATTGCATAATTTATACGCGTATCACTGCTGCAATGAACTTTTTAAAGTCTTTAAATATCGAACACCAATTGCACTATTTGAACTTTTCTGTTTGTCTAAAAGACCCGGCAAAGAAACTCTTCTTATAACAACCATGCCCTCAAACAGTTTCGTTTACAAATCTAGTTGCCTTTGGAATTCATTCCGTCAGATGTTGGCACTGAACGACCTTGAAATCACTCATGGTGTATTCAAATCAAAGGTAAAAAAAGTCATTCTCTCGTCTCAGGGTAAAGGTGACAAGAATACCTGGGCCCCTTTGGCAAACTTTCTGAACTCAGGCAGCTTGAACAACTAAATTTGAAAAAGTAAAACTTCTTGTCTGAATGAAATACTAGAACCTCAAGAAGCTTATCCGCATGTCTCCGCTACTAAAATGTTTAATGAGCCCAATCACTCATCACTTAACAGTTTAATCCTCAAAGTGAGTTGTACAATCTAGGTTGTTTTAAGTAGCTGTTGATAGTGTAAAACAGGAGTGACTTGATCGTTTTCATAACTTCGATTTACAATCTGTACCATAATAAAACTAGCACTGCCATGGGGTTCAAAAAGGGTCATTGTAAGCCTCCAGCGTAATGGTCCTAAGTCTCTGCCCCATGCGGTGCCTGTCAGCATCAGCTAACAGAATAGCCCTAAGATAACGATCAAGCCACAAATTAGGTTCTATAATGATTTAATATTGTCGAATAAAGAGATTTGAATATAATATTTGTTTTATTCTGAATATTTGTTTTATTCTGATGTCATTAAGCTTCACTGCTACACAAATTAAGGGTTTCCCCGACTTTTAGCCAGCAATTGTAATGCAAATCAAATCTCTGCAGAAGTGATAGTAAAACAAATTAGTAAAACAAATTTTATTTTATACCCACAATCAATTCATATTTAGTTCAAATATTTAAAGTCAAAATAACCATTTCACATAAGTGGTTATATTATAATAAAATAATTTGTGATAAATTAATAAATTAATTTACACTCAAAAATGAACAAAATATACACAATTTTTACCTAGTGCAACACTGGTTCAGCGCGCGGCTGATCGAAAAAGTTTGATTTGCATTTACTAACTACAGTGTACAGCGTACATGAAAAAATTACTTACTGAATCTTTTAATACTAGACACATTTTAATTCAGATGTTGTTCAATGAGTTAGCCACAAAAATGTTCAAATTATGTAGGAGGGTAAAGGACACAATTGCTAGTAGTGCTTCTTTGTGCCCGTTGACTACAATGAACATTTTGCGGAGTTTCTCCAGACGGCTTTTATCGGAGTGCGTGTTATTTACTTGGTTATGCACAAGCCAGGCCAACATTTTGTTTTTGTGTCAGCCGTGCTACCAGGTTGCAGAGTATCATAAACACTAAACAATTATACACTATACAAATTTGCTAATACAATATCATGCAGAGTCCGATCTAGCTGCAAACGTCAGACACCACAGTTCAGCCGCCAAGTACCGTTTAAGTGAACACCGAAACACAAGGTTTAGGTGTCATTTTGTAAATCACTTTATGGATGGATAATTCAGTAATTGTTGAAGAAAATTACAGTCACTGCCACCTATAGTGTTATGTAATGGGTCTGATTAACGGCCAAGAATAAACGTACGTGCGCGCTTAAGAAACCCGCGCAAATGTTGAAGTAGGGAGTAGCTGCGGCGCGCTTTTAACATATAATATTACGTATAGCGCCGTACGGAAACGGCAATATTTAAGTAATTAAGTATTTGTTTACATTAATTCCACGTTTTTATCAATAATCTAGCATGGTCCAAAACTGTTAAAGTTGTCATTATGCCACTCATTATCGAACCTGCTTTGGGCATCTAGAAGAGATCGGTTTAGCCTTGATTTGATTGAGTTACAGGATGTGTTCACAAAGTCAGGTTTATTCTGTGGATTGGAGTCCTTGAATTGATTCCAAAGCCAAGAAGATTTATAAATAAAGTTATGGCTTGGCTTTGGTGGTATTAGACGGTCATCCCTCAGTTCAGACATGTTAAGTAAAGAGTAGAGAGATATGGGTACCC